GAAGTAAGCGGTAATTTTGACCGCGACTCTGATTATCCTTAGCATAACTGATAGCACCATTCTTCCCGTACCGGGGCCAGGAAGAATTAAACCAGATTCTATAGGGTAGGTCCAGCAAGAAGTCGACTTCCCGGATGCATGAATCCAACTCGATCCCGTTGGAAATTTTTAAGTGCTCTGTATTTCTCATGAGTCTGCGATAAAACAAAAAAACTCCACCATTTGGGATCCTAGATGCTCAAAGTGCTTCCACGACTCTTGTGTTCTGCCTCCTTGCTGTCCATGAACTTCTGGCTGTCCTGGAGGGAGGAGTCACAGAAGAATCATGCAAGCCCAGTCAACCTGTTGCCCTAGCAACATTTTTACGCTTAAGTCTCACTGCTTTGACGCATGCGGTGCAATGACTTCACTTATCTCTGCAAGGAAACCCTTCGCAGATAAAGTAAACTTTCATGGATCCTAAACAAAGTCTGGAATTGCTACCACAAGACTCAAGGTTTTTCTGGTCAGCTAAGCTGTTCAGGGGGAGGTGCCCGTTTCACTGCCGCTTGGCCTTGGTGGTGAAATAGCGCAGGACCAGCCCCAAAGCCGACAGAATCACGCCTACGCCAAAGATCCACCGCCAAAGAAGCTCATCGGGTACTCCAGAAACATCCTGGGCTTTCCAAATGCTCTTGGGGAACGAAGGGGCTAAGGCCAATATCAAAAAAAAATCAGCGTACGCAGGAGGGCCCAGCATCCATGACGTAGGTCACCATTGGGCACAGCGCTTGGCCCAGGCCACTGCCAAAAAGGTACAGCAAGGCAACGTTGCGAGCACCATCTCCCGTCTTTTCGGAAGACTCAGCCGAATGCGAGGAGGCCAAGGGATACTCCCCTCCCATGCCAATTCCCGTGATTACCCGGGACGCAATGAGTGCATTCTCACTCCAGGCAAAGGCCGAGAGCAACGCCCCAAACAATGTGATGATGGAGCAGCATATGAGCCCCAAACGTCGCCCAACATAGTCAGATGCTGGACCCATGACAATCATGCCCAAAATCGCCCCGCCGTACATGGCAGCTTTCACGAAGTCCTTCTGTGCATGCGTTGCGTGAAAATCACTCGCATAATGTTCGACAAAATTCGTGGCGCCAAGCATGTACTTGTCTGTGAGCAGGCCAATTCCTGTCGCGAAAGCGCTGAGCACACCTGCCATGGATCGGAGACTGAGATCCCGCGAACTTCTCAAGCTTGCACGCCGGAATCCTATAGAGCTTGAGCCACAGACAAGAAAATAATCATGCCAGAATACACCCGCGTCATAAGAACGCATCTGATGCTTGCAAAGCTGAGGCTGTACTTTTCAAAGCGCGTCTTGAACTTCTAGAGCCAAGAACTGGCCTAACAGCGGCGATTCAAGCAACCCCGTCAGCGATTTCTGGCAGATGGACATATATACAGAAAACAATGGCAGAGCTTCACGGCCAAATCCACAGCTTACGAGGATTCAACCACCAACCTTGAACCGGAAGACATTCAACAATTCTACAACCGGTGTAAATGCTACGCATCATTGGGCTTGACGAACCATTGTATAAGGTGCCCAAAGGGACCGTAAGTAATTTCTACACTCACCATGAGACATGCATAAAAACAAGGCTACCTCATGTGAGCTATAGTCTAAACTCCTAGTATCCCCCTTAATAACCCCTATAGTAGTCCCATATATAATCCCCTATATAACCCCCCTTGAAGGAGTTTAGACTATAGCTCATAATCCCTCTAAACCCCT